ATCCCTCTAATGTTGGTTGTCCTACATGTGTGGGTGTTGCTGCATTATATAAAACCATTAGAATAATTTTTTTACATTTTAGAATGGGGTGCCTCAAGACTCTCCATAATTTTAAAGGGTGCCTCAGGACTGTCCATGATTTAAAAGGGTGCCTTGACTGAAAAAAGGTTGAGAAACACTGAATTATATAGGACACACACCTCTCTGTAAAGGTGTAGGGAATGTGATATTACAATATTTCATCATATTATACAGAATGGCAGAGAAAAAAGAAAAGAGAAAAAAATATAAGAAAAGAGAAAAAATTATAAGAAAAGAGAAAAAAATATAAGAAAAAAGAAAAAATTATAAGAAAAGAGAAAAAAAATATAAGAAAAGAGAAAAAAAATTATAAGAAAAGAGAAAAAAATATAAGAAAAGGAAAAAAAAATGGAGAAGTGGAATTTCGGATTTCCATCAGTTTAGTGATATTACCAGTATTACAGTATACATGTACTATAAAAAGCAAGGCTATGCACTGAAGGTTAAAAAGGTAAAAGGAAAAATGTGTGCTTGTATGCAAAGGAAAAAAGAAAAATATTTATACGTGTGCCTTATATGTATTAACTGGTAATATGTAGGCAAGAAGAAATATCAGAATATCACCTTAGCGAAAGAATTGCAAAGCATAGCTGGGTCAGTCTTTGTGGTGCCGCTGCACCTGAGGACAGTGAGTACATTTCAGGGTGGGATGGGGAATTTGTGCTGTGGTACTACACTCTGCATTACATCCTACTGAACCCTGCACTGTGCATTGCTTGCTTTTGATTTATGCACTCTGCGTTACTTGCCATTGACCTCTGCATTATGCAATAGTTATTACTATCCCCTGTGCTTTGTGTCATGAATCACTAACCCTTGTACTCTGTGTTACTTACACCTGACCCCTGCACTTTGTGGTACTTACTACTGACCTCTACACTCTGCATTGATTACTATTAACTCATGGACTCTGCATTACAAACTACTAACACCAGCACTCTGTGTTACATACTAGCAATCTCTGCACTCTGTGTTACCACTGACCCTTGCTCTCTGTGTTACTAACTACTGACCTCTGCACTCTGCTTTACATGCTACTGAAACTTGCAGCCTGCATCATTTACTACTGTCTACTACTAATCCCTGCACTCTGTGTTACATACTAGCAACCTCTGTACTCTGTGTTTCTACTGACCCTTGCTCTCTATGTTACTCACTACTGAGCTCTGCACTCTGATTTACATACTACTGAAACCTGCACTCTGCATTATTTACTACTAAAACCCCTGCACTGTGCCCTACATACTACTGATCCCTGCATTGTACATCACATAATAAAGAGCACTGCATTCTGTGTTACTTACTCCTGACCTCTGAACTCTGTGATACTTACTCCTAACCCATGACCTCTGCATTACTTACTACTGACTATACTCTGTGTTAATTACTACTGACCCGGCACTCTGTGTTACAATACTGCTAACTATTCAACTCCGCGATACATACATATTACTGACCTCTGCATTCTGCAGTACATACTACGGTATCCTACACTCTGTGTTACTTACTACTAACCTCTGAATTTCATGCTTTTTTGAACTGCTACCCAATGCATATATTAGAGACTCATTCACACTTTTGCCACCACAATGCATTAAAGCCTGTAACATGCATTGCATCTCAAAGGTGTGTTTTGGCCCTAAATGAAAATATATCCAGCACCTTACGAAAGCTAAAGTCCAGTCACTATTATTATTACTACAGCAATGAACTGGTTAACTATATGCCTACCTTGCCAGCCTTGTTTCTATATATTCACAAAATTGAATGAGTATAGATGCCTGTTATGTACCCCACTGTAAGCATGCTGGGGTTTACACCATCATGAGTTTTATTAGCATCAAACTTTGCATACCCATGACCTCATCCCACCCCCCCCCCATCACTTTGATATGCAATGAGTGTGTGATATGGTGAATTCAGCATGTGAAAACCTAAGGACAGCCACTGTGCTACTTAAAGTACCTACCTCTCCTTCACTACTGATACCCATATCCTCCCTAAATCCTCTCCTTCTCTGTTACACATTTCCTCCCAAATTCATTATAGCTATTTCCAATAAAATTAAAAACATAACTAATAATCCTTTTCATAGCAATCACAATTTATTTAGCTGAAATAATTGCATTGATTTGAAAAAGTTACATTGACTCTTACTTTTTTTTAAGAGGAAGTTGTTTTTTGTACGGTTCTGTATCAATGTGTGAAAGGATATTGCTTATACTACATACAGTAATAACTTTTCTTTTGGTAACTTTCTTCAGGTACTCCATTAATAGTTTGTCTATACTGTATTTCCAAATTTTGAATCACTGAACATGCCTGTGGTCCCAGATTGCCAAAATTCACTATTATAGATGTAACACCCTTCTCTAGGTACAGTCAGGTCCTATAAATATTGGGACATCGACACAATTCTAACATTTTTGGCTCATACACCACCACAATGGATTTGAAATGAAACGAACAAGATGTGCTTTAACTGCAGACTGTCAGCTTTAATTTTCGGGGTATTTACATCCAAATCAGGTGAACGGTTGTAGGAATTACAACAGTTTGCATATGTGCCTCCCACTTATTAAGGGACCAAAAGTAATGGGACAATTGGCTTCTCAGCTGTTCCATGGCCAGGTGTGTATTATTTCCTCATTATCCCAATTACAATGAGCAGATAAAAGGTCTAGAGTTCATTTCAAGTGTGCTATTTGCATTTGGAATCTGTTGCTGTCAACTCTCAAGATGAGATCCAAAGAGCTGTCACTATCAGTGAAGCAAGCCATCATTAGGCTGAAAAAACAAAACAAACCCATCAGAGAGATAGCAAAAACATTAGGCGTGGCCAAAACAACTGTTTGGAACATTCTTAAAAAGAAGGAACGCACCGGTGAGCTCAGCAACACCAAAAGACCTGGAAGACCACGGAAAACAACTGTGGTGGATGAGCGAAGAATTCTTTCCCTGGTGAAGAAAACATTTACAACAGTTGGCCAGACAAGAACTTCCATAGGTGTCTGGTGTCTCACTTCACCAAGTTCAGAGGGTTCCACAAGATGAGTGGCCTCAAAAACAGGAAGGCCAGAAGAGTTTGCCTGAGACATTACATTCACAGTTCTGGAACAACATCCTATGGCAGATGAGACCAAATCAACTTGTACCAGAGTGATGGGAAGAGAAGAGTATGGAGAAGGAAAGAACTGCTCATGATCCTAACATACCACCTCATCAGTGAAGCATGGTGGTGGTTGTGTCATGGCGTGGGCATGTATGGCTGCCATTGGAACTGGTTCTCTTGATTTATTGTTGACAAAAGCAGCAGGAAATTGTTTCGGGTAGCTCATATTCAGCAAAACACGCCGCTTCACAGACAATGCCTCATAAGCTATGCAAAAGCAACCAAAGAGTTTTTTTGGAATGTAACATTCCAACCTTCACCTGTTTGAAAGACACACTAAAAAAACTGAAGGGAAAATGCCCCAAGAACAAGCAGGAACTGAAAAGTTGCAGTCAGAGGCCTTGCAACCCAGCGTCTGGTTTTTGCAGATTGACTGCAAAGGATTTGCAACCAAGTATTAAAAATGAAAGTTTGATTTATGATTATTATTCTGTCCCATTACTTTTGGTTCCTTAATAAGTGGGAGGCAAATGCAAATGGACATCACCTGATTTGGATGTAAATACCCTCAAATTAAAGCTGACACTCTGCAGTTCTAAAGCACATCATTGTTTGTTTCATTTCAAATCCATCGTGGTGGTGTATAGAGCCAAAACTGTTAGAAGAGGGCTTTCCACCTTGGTATGGACCTGACTGTACCTCCAGGCAAATGTAGTTTTTAGCTGCATTGTAGTAAATGGAGCAGTTGTTGATTGTGTTGCTCTGTTCGGGGCTTCCTCATGAGTTTGATTACTCTCACCTGCCTCTGAAAGAAGTTTCCAGCATAGGGCAAAGATTCAAAAAGTTGAATATTTATCATGCTTCTTCCAATCTCTGGAAGGAGGCTTTCAGAAGGTGGCTGGGGAGATAACAAAGGCAAACAGATATATTTTTTTTCCTCCAAGGCGGGTTCCAGTGTCCTGGGGTCTGTTGCCCCTGGGAGATAGCAAAGAGACAAGAAGTTCAAATGGGTCTCAGCAAGTTCTGGGCTGAGGGGGAGATTGCCTGAGGATTACATTAGCTGGAGGGCACTGAACTAAATTCCTGGTCTGGAGAAGGATCTACAACCCCTTATGAAGAATCACCACTCTTGGAAAATATTAATTGAATTGTTAAATTGTGTAGAAAACAAAACAATCACAGACATGCCTCATAACTATTTTCATGTAACATTCCAACCTTCTGGGTTTAAGACACTACTAAAAAAAAAAAGAAAGAAAACTGTAGTCAGTTGCAACTGTTTTTGCAGAAGCAGAGGAAAAAAATATAAAATCACTCAATTCTGAGAAAATATTATGGAATCACCATGTACTTTGCAGTTCTAAAACAAACATCTGCATCAGATTCCATCTGCTAATTAGTCTGCAGTTAAAAAAAGAGGGCTTTCACCTTGGTGAGCTGTTGCATCAAGCTGATTGACATGAATCATGGCTCCAACATGAGAGATGTCAGCTGAAGCAAAGGAAAGGAATGAAAAACTTCTTCAAGAAGGTAAATCATCACAGAATGTTGCAAAAGACATTGGTTGTTCCCAGTCAGCTGTGTCTAAAATCTAGACCAAGTACAAATCAAATGGAAGGTTGTAAAAGGGAAGTGTACTGGTAGACAGAGGAAGACATCAAAGCGTTAGGATAGAAAACTTAAAGCAATATGCCTTGAAAATAGAAAATGCACAACAAAACAAATGAGAAACAAATGGGCAGAAACTGGAGTCAATGTCTGTGACCGAATAGACTTGCCTAAAAGAAATGGAAAGAAATTTACATACAGAAAGCCAAAGGAAAACCATCATTAACACAGGGGCCCCTATGATCCAATATGGACCGGGGGCCCCATGAGTTATTCAGTGTTGAATCACAAATCCCATTGGGCAGGTAATGCTGCTGGAACTTTAAGTGCCGTTCCAATAAAATGTATAAAGACTACTGCCTTAAGAAAACATGCAAATTTCCACATTCATTGATGACATGGGGTTGCATGTCAGGTAAAGGTACGGGGGAGGGAGATAACAATCATAAATCTTCAATAAATGCGCAAGTTTATAATGAGATTTTGGGCACTTTTCTTATTCATGAATTGAAAGATGTTTGGTGATGACATCATTTTTTCCGGATGATAATGCATCTTGTCATAGGACAAAAGCCATGAAAACTTTCCTTCAAGAAAGACATACAATTATTATTATTATACAGGATTTATATAGCGCCAACAGTTCGCTCAGCGCTGTACATTACAATGGGAGACAATACATGAGACAGTACAATAACAATACAATGCGATTCATAGGGAGAGTGGAGGAGGTCGGCAATTAGCAGAGGGCGGGGTAGGCTTCCCTGAAGAGATGGGTTTTCAGGGTGCACCTAAAGCAGAGGAGAGTAGGTGATAGTCTGATAGTTGGGGTAGGGAGTTCCAGAGGATGGGTGAAGCCCTGGAAAAGTCCTGGAGTTGGGCATGGGAGGAGATGACCAGGGAACTACAGAGAAGGAGGTCTTGTGAGGAGCGGAGAGTACTTTTTGGGTGGTATTTGGATATCAGGTCGGTGATGTAGTTTGTAGTCAATGGCATAGCCTGCAAATAGTCCAGACCTCAATCTAATTGAAAATCTATGGTGGAAATGAAAGAAAATGGTCCATGACAAAGCTGCTCTGGCAACTGCAATAAGAGAAAATTGGAGCCAGATTGAGGAAGAATACTGTTTGTCGATAGTCAAATTCATGCCTCAGAGAATTCAAGCTGGTATAAAAGCCAGAGGTGGTGCAGCAAAGTACTAGTGATGTACTGGAGTGTTTTTTCATGATTCCATAATATTTTCCTCAGAATTGAGTGATTCCGTATTTTTTCTCCTGCTTGAAAACAGTTGCAACTGACTACAGTTTTCTTGACTATTGCACCAGAGATAGGCTCGTCCACTTCCCCATTACCACCATTACCGTTCCGCACCAACCCCCTTCCCCTTAACCAATTATACTAACAAAAGACATAACACCAATTTTGGAGTAAATGGCCAACATGGCCTTTTATTAACAACTCAAGTTACAATACACCAACCATTCCTTATAACAGAAACCCACATAATTGTTGTTGGTCTTCGAAGGCACCCCAAAACGATCCGAAATGCACCTGCGGACAACCATATACACTAGGCCTCCAGCCGCAACCAACCAGCTCGGAGACAACCATACCGTCCGCAGTGCAGCACCACCACCTTCCAGTTAAACCTTGGTTAACTGGGAATGTCCCCGGGCATCCCATACCACGGATGGGTCCCACACCATTGTTGTTTACCTTCCAAATAAGAACCGCCTCCAAAGACCAACAACCGCCACCAACCATTCCTTATAACAGAAACCCACAGAATTGTTGTTGGTCTTCGAAGGCACCCCAAAATGATCCAAAATGCACCTGCGGACAACCATATACACTAGGCCTTCAGCCGCAACCAACCAGCTCAGAGACAACCATACCGTCCGCAGTGCAGCACCACCACCTTCCAGTTAAACCTTGGTTAACTGGGAATGTCCCCGGGCATCCCATACCACGGATGGGTCCCACACCATTGTTGTTTACCTTCCAAATAAGAACCGCCTCCAAAGACCAACAACCGCCCATGAACCAACATAATCCCCCCCTCTACCTGGAGGGACCCAAAACTCACCCAAACAGGGAGGGCGGGAGGGAAGCTCACACTCTTGCCGTCCAGCTAACTGACTCCCCCTCACAGAACCTCCCATCCTAAGGTGCAGCAAAACCCCACCTACACCAACCTCTACCAATCAGCTACCCCCCACTAACAATAACAAAATCCTCCTGGAGCTACCTTAACCCTTTCTGCTCTTCCTTCCCCCACTCTGGGCCTAGTCATGTACAGTTGTGTCCAAAATTATTCAACCCCCAATGCTGTAAAGGGGTTTAGGGACTATAGTGTACATTTGGAATTGTATTCAGAATCAAATCCTACAAGGACGTTGTAACTACCCAAATGCAACTAAAATGACATCAATTGTTTATGTAATACAGTAGTAAATGGTTCTTATGTGGTTTCTTCATTGCCACAATTATTCAACCCCTTAAAGACTACCACTCTGAAGAACAGAGGTTCATACAGGTGCTTTCCATCAGGTATTGAAAACACCTGTGGATGTCACCGAGCAGCAATCAAGCATAATAAGCACCAATTAGGCAGCTTTAAAATGACTGTGATACTCAGCTCCTTCTAGACATTTACTGGTGTGGTTACAAACATGGTGAAGGCAAGAGAATGGTCCAGGAAGACAAGAGAAGAGGTGATTTCTCTTCACAGGAAGGGCAATGGCTATAAGAAGATTGCAAAGATGTTAAACATACCAAGAGACACCTTAGGAAGCATCATTCGCAAATTCAAGGCAAAGGGCACTGTTGAAACGCTACCTGGTCGTGGCAGAAAGAAGATGCTGACTTCGACTGCTGTGCGCTACCTGAAGCGTAGAGTGGAGAGAAGTCCCCGTGTGACTGCTGAGGAACTGAGAAAAGATTTGTCAGATGTGGGTACAGAAGTTTCAGCCCAGACAATAAGACGCACACTGCGTAATGAAGGCCTCCGTGCCAGAACTCCCAGGCGTACCCCCTTGCTGTCTCCAAAGAATAAGAAGAGTCGACTGCAGTATGCCAAAAGCCATGTGGACAAACCACAAAAGTTGTGGGATAGTGTTCTGTGGACTGATGAAACAAAATTAGAACTGTTTGGGCCCATGGATCAACGCTATGTTTGGAGGAGGAAGAACAAGGCCTATGATGAAAAGAACACCTTGCCTACTGTGAAGCATGGTGGAGGGTCAATCATGCTTTGGGGCTGTTTTGCTTCTGCAGGTACAGGGAAGCTTCAGCGTGTGCAAGGTACCATGAATTCTCTTCAGTACCAGGAGATATTGGATGGAAACGTGATGCAGTCCGTCACACACCTGAGGCTTGGGAGACGTTGGACCTTTCAACAGGACAATGATCCCAAGCATACCTCCAAGTCCACTAGAGCATGGTTGCAGAGGAAAGGCTGGAACATTTTGGAGTGGCCATCGCAGTCACCAGACTTAAATCCGATTGAGAACCTCTGGTGGGACTTAAAGAAAGCAGTTGCAGTGCGCAAGCCTAAGAATGTGACTGAACTGGAGGCCTTTGCCCATGAAGAATGGGCGAAGATACCCGTAGATCGCTGCAAGACACTTGTGTCAAGCTATGCTTCACGTTTAAAAGCTGTTATAACTGTAAAAGGATGCTGTACTAAGTACTAAGATTGAATGTCACTTGGGGGTTGAATAAAACTTGACTATTGCACCAGAGATAGGCTCGTCCACTTCCCCATTACCACCATTACCGTTCCGCACCAACCCCCTTCCCCTTAACCAATTATACTAACAAAAGACATAACACCAATTTTGGAGTAAATGGCCAACATGGCCTTTTATTAACAACTCAAGTTACAATACACCAACCATTCCTTATAACAGAAACCCACATAATTGTTGTTGGTCTTCGAAGGCACCCCAAAACGATCCGAAATGCACCTGCGGACAACCATATACACTAGGCCTCCAGCCGCAACCAACCAGCTCGGAGACAACCATACCGTCCGCAGTGCAGCACCACCACCTTCCAGTTAAACCTTGGTTAACTGGGAATGTCCCCGGGCATCCCATACCACGGATGGGTCCCACACCATTGTTGTTTACCTTCCAAATAAGAACCGCCTCCAAAGACCAACAACCGCCACAGCACGCTGGGTAAGCCCTTACCCATGCGTGCCACGCCACAAACGAACAGCCCGCTGCATGCCATCCTGCAGATCCAGGGACCATAAATCCGTCCCAACCGCATTCAAATGTACCCCATCGCACCTGAGATACCGCCAAGTATCCACCTCCAACTCCAAGCGCCAGACCACCAACCCCCCATGGTGACTAAAGAAACGCCCCACCTCTCTGTTAGCCTTAATCCGAGCCTTGTTGAGCCTCTCTACCGACCGCGCCCAACGCCAAGAGGCACGGGCGACAATGTCGGACCACACCACCACCATCCCCGGATAAGCCCGCCGCAACTGAAGAAAGTCCAGCTTGACATCTCACACCAGCTCCCGCTCAGCGTGCCTGAAAAAAAAACACCCATGCCCCACTGGACGACGGGACAAAAATTCCCGAACCGCCCGCACTGGGCACACCAGCGAAGCCGGAAGAACGAAAAAACGCACCCGACCACCACGTCCCAATTGGTCCATCTTAGACCGACGTACCAGCACCTCCACCCATTCACCGAAGCACCTGACTTCATCCACCAATAACCCCCCAAGAACCGATTTGGACGGGCTAACGAGCTCCCCAATACGCAACGCCCCAAAAAAGGCTACCGCAAAAGCCGCCCGAAATAAGCACACCTCAAAGTCCGAAGAACACACAGACCACCAATGCACAAACAAAGACCCCAACAACTCAAAAGACACCGGACGACGAGAATCCTTACATCGATGAGCGCTCCGGTAACCCCGGAGAGCCTGCCGAACCCAAAAAATCTTCAGTGAAATCCTGACACCCTTGCAACTTAAAGAAGAATGCCAAACCCGCCAGTCGGCGATCCACCGCAGCAGCCGACACCCCCCCGCTCAAAATTCCGCGCCACAAAGTACAATACCGCCAAAAACACCTCCGGCCCCCAGGGATCAATCTCAACCCGCTGTAGCAGATCCAGCCACTCCCACCAGACCCTAGAGTATGCAGACCAAGTCGCCTCACTCACCGAACGCCGGATCCAGCCCGCAAGGACTCCAAG